AAAGATAGATCTTTCAAATCAAATCAAATCAAATTTCTTTATTTGCGTAATTCCAGGTACATAAGTGGTCTTACATAGATTTGGTAGGTTTTACTGAAATTTGCTCAAACTAGGAAGCGTGCAAATATTAAAAAGAGTAGTAGACTTTATATCGAAAATAATACTAACATGTCATATTACATTAATTGATTAAAAACAGAAAACTAATAAATTATCATTAACTTTGTGACTATTGGCACAGATTATACTTTGGCACATTCTTTTGTTTTTCAAAACATTGTCAACGTGTCTGTTTTGAATTGTTCACCATAAATTATTTAAATATTGCTTTCAATTTTCGCAGGACCACTTCGCACAACTTCTCCATAAGTCGGTTTCCACTGTGTTGACGGAAAGGAAAGCAGAACTTAAAGATATAGATTTTCTATTGAACAATTGCGGCAAAGACATCGAAAATATCATGAATTACAAGTTCAAGGATCCTTCGTTTTTGTTGGAGGTAAGTCAACGAATATTAAAATTAATTGGTAAACAGAAAAAAATATCAAACATGCTTGATGGGGCCTAAAATTAAATTAGAGTTATAAAATTCCAGGCTCTGGCTGCTTCGGATATAAATACTCATGACGTGTTTACCTTTATAACTTTTGACCCTTATTATAGGTATATTATATTATATTATAGGTATTGTAACCCGCCTGTACATATTAAAGGCCAGGCAGCCGCCAAACGTTAATTCCACTCCACGTAACTGTTTCTCAACTTGTAAATTTTTATATTACGTCGACGGTACAAAAAATGTAGCGTCCCTAAGTCAAACTGCTTATAATGTAAATTATAAAGCTTTAATGGTTTATTTCCAGGCCATGTCTCACCCATCATACATCCGCAACAGACTGACCCGCTCCTACGAACGGCTGGAGTTCTTAGGCGACGCCATCTTGGATTTCCTTATTACGTCACACATATTTGAGAACTGCCGGACGTTGAGACCTGGGGAGTTGACCGACTTGCGGTCAGCGTTGGTCAATAACGTCACGTTTGCGTCGTATGTGGTCAAGCTGGGGCTGTATAAGTGAGTTTGAGTGATATTTTATGTTACTTTTCTCTCAGGTGTCGTTTGTGGTCAAGACTTTTTATTTTAATTATTTCATCATTGGTGCCTTTCTTCCCTATGTTTTAATTACCGGCAGCAATGCTTATTTTTGCAGTTACTTTACTCATGTGTATGTAGTTACTAACTGCACCAACAAATCGATTTAAACTTCCACGATAGAGAATAATAATAAGGGTTTTCGCGTATGAAAAATCCGCCAGATGGCAATATGTAGACGCAAGGTCCAAATGCTGCATGATTGGTTATTTTTGACATGACATTGACAGATATGTCAAAATCCACCAATCACGTATCAGTCAGATCCCACATCCACGTCCCGCCATCTAGCGGATCTTTCATACGAGAAAACCCTCATTACCAAAATTCACAACATTAAAAGGCATCACATAGGTATTTTGTTTGCAAGATAGTCAGCTATTTCTTTCTTTTTTTTCTATTGGCGTAGACTAGGCAGCTTTTTTATCACTAGCTAAACCCAATAAGCACTCCAGATAAATGTCCTCCTCAGTCTTCAAGTTTTCAATTACTTAGTATTTCAAGTTTGTTAAAAATGCGCAGATCCAATGAGGGTTTTCGCGATTGAAAAATCCGCCAGATGGCAATATGTAGACGTGAGGTCCAAATGCTGCATGATTGCTTATTTTTGACATGACATTGACAGATATGTCAAAATCCACCATCCAAATCATTGAAGCAAAGTTTTTTCGTGACCATTTAAACCCCTTAGATTTACTTCCCTAAAATTTTCAGATTCTTATGCTCACAACTGAATCCGAGCCTAGATAAAGCGATAATGGCGTTCGTGGAGCATCAAGAACAAAGGGACCACGAGGTTATAGAAGAGGTTTTGTACCTCATCGATGAGGATGAGTGCCACATAGCTGAGTATGTGGAAGTTCCTAAGGTAAGTGGTGATTTAGACTTCCTACAGAAAGTTTCTTTACCCTATTGCTTAGTTCTTACGGTCCTAAATTATGATGTTTTTACAAGCCAAGCATTTTGAATGTTAATCACTGGCAAGGGTACTCTAGAAGTTGTATTGAAGAGGATTAATAACTGTTGAACTCTTGTGGCAGCCCCATACAGCTTGGTGTCGACCCCAACTAACCAACCGCTAAAGACCACACCACAGAAGTATCTAGTTCATAAGGTTTTTATCTTTATTATTTTGTCATTCTTGCTGAACCCAAATTAAACCTTATCTCCAGGTGCTAAGCGACATATTCGAGTCGCTAATCGGCGCGATATTCCTGGACAGCGGCGGCGACTTGGCCGCGGTGTGGGCGGTCATCTACCGCATCATGTGGAAAGAGATCGATGCGTTCTCCGCGAGAATCCCGCAGCAACCGGTCAGGGTTCTATACGAAAAGATACACGCCTGCCCTGTGTTTGGGTAAGTGATATTTTTAACGCATTGATGGTACGCAAAATATTTTGTTTATTTTTTTATCTAGGTACTTTAACTTGTTTTAATATCTTGAGTCAGTGACATGCCAATATAATTTACCTAGTTCATATACAAAACATACAGAAATACTTATCTAAATATTTAACACACCTTTTTGAGGTGGGGGTTAAAATCACTGAAGTGGGCGGGGCTTGTTTCTGGTTCATATCACAATTCATATTGTTAAACTTTTATCTGGAAGTGCATACAGGCGTTTTAGTAAAAGCTTACACTATCCAAGAGTTGCCAATGGGTAGGTACTTGTGGCAGCAATTTCTTAAACTTGCCAGCCATAATCTTCCACAAGACGATTTTTCCCAATAGACATGAAACTTAATAAGGTTTATATTTTAACTAATATTTTCAAATTCCAGCGACGCTCAAGTGACGAACACCGACGTGCCAAAGGTGATGATTCCAGTAACAGTGACGAAGAATGGTCGCCAGCACACTATCCATGGATTCGGGAACAACAAATTCCAGGCCAAGCGAGCAGCTGCCAAGTTGGCCCTCAAAATATTGGCGCTTTAATATATCAACCCCTTATTTGATCTCACTGCCTAGTGCAGCAGAGGCCTTAAATTGAAAGTCACTAAAATTATCGTCATTTTAAAACTGAAATTATTTTTTGTTGTAATTAATTAATTATATGCTGCATGTTGCTGTTACTCAAAGGAAAATTCTATTTTGTAATATTTGACGTCACGACACGAACTAGTGATCATATTCGTATGTGCTTTGTTTTAAGTGATAAAAATATCGCAGAAATAGCTAGGCAAAGTATTTATGTGATAGTCACAATTTCTTCATACTTTTTTACTGTACCCTATGCGATATCTCTCTACATCGTTATAAAACCAAAACAAAAGTATCACTTTATTGTAAAGCAGAATCTTAACATGAGATGGTGGGTTTTTCATACTACATCTCCCAATTTTGCGTGTCACATGCAATAAAAAAAAACTTCCCAGCTCTCTTAATGTCAATAGTCTGCATATTACGAATTCATCACTCATATTTTATTTATTGTAGTTAATATAGTAGTTACATTTATAAAAAAATATATCAAATTAAATTTATGTAACCGTAAATCTTTACCATTGTAATTTTTCTATTTACCACTGTTCTGTATTGTATAAATAATTTAGCTTGTTGTCGAAGTTTTTTGATAAAATGTATGTAGTATACAGGGAATTTTATTATTATTTCATGCGTTTTAATAATATGTAATGAAATAAACATCATACGTTTTCGACACGTGGATATTTTTAAAATAAAATTTGGGCTAGATTACATTGCTTAAAAATATAATTTTCGATGCGTGTTAATTATTAGTGGTTAAAATAACTGAATTTATAAGAGAATTTTAGACTCAAATTTAAGGTATGTCGTGTTAAACACGTTTTCGTCGAAATTGTATAAATTATGCTGTGTGTGCCCAACTATGTTTGCGTTAATATCAGTTTCTTATCCCCGAGTCGATGCCTGCTGGTCATAAGGCTATTTTTACCCGACTGCGCCAGAAGGAGGGTTATGTTTTTAGTGGAATTACGATTGCGGACCTACCGAGTAAAATGGGGAATGGAATAAAAGATATTACGACATCGGGCTCATTATTTTCCAAATTCTAGTTCGATGATGAATTTTGTATTGATGAATGTTGCTTGGATGTATTGTAATTAGAAGTAAATAAATCACAAACTTTATATTACCTCGTCTTTTTTTCTAAATTGTTAATTAAGTACCTGCTTTTGATTTTGAGCAATTACCAAGATGTTCAAGTTTCGCTTTCTGAATCAATACTAAAGCGCGGATATGATAATAAATAAAACGTACTTTATTGTATGTACAACACAAAAGATAATAAGAAATAAATATTATTATACACTACAAAAGATACGATTACGATTTATTAAGAAAAATTGTAGCTACTTGTAGAATCCTGCCACAAAATAGAAATTAATTAATTTTCTATGTTGTGGTCCTGCTTAGACAATAGGTAAATGAAATATGTTGGCGTTAATAGGTCATTCACAATTAATTAAGTAGTTAATTTACCTCGTGCTTGTTAGATAGGTATTTTTTTATTCAAAGATTATGGTATGTAGTTCTCCTTATAGCTTACTCTGTAAAAACATATTTTTAAAGACTGCATTTTCTTATTCTTTATAGGCTCGCTTCTGAACCTTTTGTTTGATGTATTGGACCACAAATTTTACATTTATGCAATAAATGTTTTTTTATATTTTTCATTATTATTTAACAAAATCTAAACAGTGGCTGCTAAGGCTGAATTGCACCGTCTTACTCTTTGACAAACGTAAAAAATCTGTCAAACCATATAAAAAGCACCGGTTAATGTTATTGTTACAGATAAAATAAGGTGGTGCAACTCAGCCTAAGAAAATCACAGGCATTTAGAAATAAAAAAACAAAATTTGTTTCCACGTCACATGGATTTTATTATGGTAGCATACAGTAAGATTACAGGAAGTATGTGCTTGGCCTCTTGTACGCGAAGGTATTGAGGCGCTTGTGGTGGTGCACACGCTTGGGCAGAGGGAACTTGATCGCGCTGGCGTGGAACTGTTTGACCTGGGGCCGGCGGCACGCGGACGCCTTGATCACCTCCACTTTGATAATCTGGAGACAAGAATTAAGTTTAAAATATAAATTCAAAAGACAAAGTATGCTTGAAAGAAAATCTTAAAATACGATGCTGATTTTAAGCAGGGATCTTACAGGTCTATTTCAACTCCAAGCAACAATTTAGTGTCCTTCATTCCATCACTCAGGCAGGGTTCGAAAGGATAATTAATTAATTATCACGATAATTATCTTGATAACATAAATTTTGAACCCTGCACCCAGGTCATCATATTATCCATGGGTGATCAAAGTACACTAAATTGTTGCTTGGAGTCCACTTTGATCACCTGGGACTTATATGGATTATTTATTTACTTTTTAGCAATAAAACACAGGTTTTATAGGACGTCAAAATTATTCTTTAGAACAGTGGTTTTCAACCTGTGANTGATACCCCGGGCCTACATCCTACATACAACGAATAAAGTACCAGGGCAACATAACCATAAAGGAGCTATTTTTTGATACATGTTTATTTCTCGGGTCAACCAAGAAGAATTTGATATAGCTCCTTTATGATTATGTTGCCCTGGTATTTTAGGAATATTATTCGTTGTATGTAGGTATGAATGGTTTTTATTAATTTTTATGTTATGTTGTCAAATCTGTCCAGTAGTTTCGGAGCCTATTCAGTACAAACAAACAATCAATCAATCAAATCTTTCCTCTTTATAATATTAATATTATATGATTATAGATAATCGTTTTACAGTTAATGGTAGGGCGGCACTATTGGTGGTGTAAAAGGGATTAAAAAATACCCTTTGCACCACCAGTGGTGCAGGCCGGTGGTGCAAAGGGTACAAAAGGGTTTTATAGGACGTCAAAATTATTCTTTAGAACAGTGGTTTTCAACCTGTGAGTCGCGACCCTCTGGGGGGTCGCGAGAGGTCGTAAAATCTACCTCAGTTAAAAAAACAAAAAAGTTATAAAATAGATTTAAACGAAATCTAATTGCTGCAACGATGAAAATGCATAAAATGTTATATGGATTGAAATCCCTACAAAAATCTTTGTAACTTTATAAAATGCATGAAAAAAAAACGAACGGGTGGGGGGGTCGCCAAATATTTTTTCATACTAGGGGGGTCGTGTCATGAAAAAGGTTGAAAAACATTGCTTTAGAAAAACAGATTACATTGCTGCCAAACTAGGGTAGCTCTCTCAAAAATTTGGCAACCAGGGCAAGAAGCGTGAAAACCCCGGATTGTGGAGCCCAGAACCCCGATGTGTCAACATGGTTTTTTAAAACTTAGTCTCATTGCCCGGCAACGGCATAAGAATGACATTTTTAAGTCCAGACTACAAATGAAACCCTGCCCGAACGCACCCCAGACGAATGGCAGTCCTATGCCAAATTAAATTTTGAGCCAAATAAAAAATCAGTATACCTGAATTGAGTGAGCACGAGCTCTGTGCCTGGCTCCCATGTCGCGGTAGCACTGTGTGACGGCGCCGCCGACGCTGAGGTCGCGGTATTCGCGGTACATGTTGTGGACGCCAGATCGGGACTCGTAACGGAGCCAGATACCGAAGTTCTTGATCTTGACTGGGCTCTTCTCTGGGATTTCCTGTAATTTAATTTAAACGTTAATAGACAGGATTCAAATATTTTTTGCAGATTGATTGCAGACTATCACAATTAATTTTGCCAATCTTCAAATCATTATAACAGCTGGTATCACTATATGACACCAAAGCACGAAGCATGCATGTTATTGACATTGTAATGCTGAAGTCATTGTGTCTTGCACTAATCAGTGCTCACGGCATAGGTTTAACTAATTACCTCTTCCAAGATGTTCATGTAAATTATTCATAATGACCGGTCAGAATTAATATTCAATATAATGTGACACTTTTGTATTGGTAAAAACTTTTTAAAATGTATAAATGGTCAGTAATAGTTTAGACCTTTATTTCCTTGACATTTCGAGATTGAGATGAGAAAGATTAATCTCTAAAATCCGTAACAAATTAAAAATAACAAACCTTGATGGACACGATTTCGCCGGTGGTCTTCTTGAACTTCTTCAACTGCCGAAGGAAGTACCAGAAACGGGACTTGGCCACAATGGGGTCAGGCGAGAATATCCTCATTTTGTATAGAGGCGGCTTTGGCTCGCTCTCCGAAGGGAGCTTGCGCCCAATGACTTCATATTCCTTCAACTGGAAACAAACGAATAAGTTACTACCTGTTCGAACCACAATATGTTCATAAACATTAAGATTTAGAGCACAAGTATCACTACAATAATCGGTAACCCAACAGCATCACAACATGACCTAACCTAAAAAATAACCGATTGTCATTTACTAATTTCCAGTTACATAGTTATTCATAACGCATTACAATTAACATTGTACATTAATTCAGGTGGATTAAACATAGTTAACACATGATAAATTGCGAGAATCCGAAAAAACACTTCGGCACAATGCGTCGACAACGTGTATCTGCTAGACAACTTGATGCAGCATTTTTTATCACTTTACCACACTATTATCACCACAAAATATCATTAATCCGACACTTCTAATAAATATTGAATGTATTCTTGCTGCAATTAACCATTTTTTATTAAAACTCACCTCTCCTTTCGCCTTCATTTTTGGAGGTTTTAGCCTGAAAGAACTGTCAACGGAAGCGGAACACTTACGCGAAAGAAAGATGGCGTATGACAGTGTTGCCACAAAAGAAAATAATATTCCGTAAAAATCGCTGCTTTACGGAGCAATTGAATGTTGAGACAACACTATTTTATTCAATTGCGAAGAACTTAGCGATTTTTACTCTGTGTTGGTGACATTGACAATGACATTGATATTTGCACAAAATTTGACATTCATGTCACGAACGACGAAATGAGTGTTTGCTTTTGCATTGCAAGAGTTGAAATAAAATAGAAAGCTGTTCCTATTTCCATTCTAAGTGGAATATGTGATCATAGTCATATAAGAGAGTAGTTTTTCCAAGATGTTTTCAAGGAACATTTCAAGAGTGGTGAAATATGGGTTGTATGGTAGTGTAGGAATTGGATCTACAGTTGCTGCTTTGAAGCTTCAGGATAATGATCTTGGTACACTGGCCATCGTGAGGATTACTAGAACAGCGGTGACAGCTATAGACATAGGTAGGACCTACCAGTCGTTACTTTACAGCAAGGAGTGGGACAGGACTTCGTTAGAATATGAGGCAGTTAAGAGGGAAGCCCATCAAATTGGCGCAAACAAACTTTTAGAACTTTGTAGGGCAAATAAAGGAGTCTATATAAAAATAGGTCAACATGTTGGTGCTATGGATTATCTACTCCCTACTGAATATGTCACAACAATGCGAATATTGCATAAAGATGCACCTAAGAACACATTGGAGGAGTTGTACAAAGTAATAAAAGAAGATTTAAAAGAAGATGTAAGTTTTTAAAGTTTTATTTTATGTGTAAGACGAATTCTGACGATAACTAGTAAACAACAAACCTAACACTATTGCACAACATTTTGATAATGTAACTAATGTCATGTGTTCATATTTCTTATTTATTGTAATCATTCCTTTTCCAGTAATAATCTATTAATTTTCATTACAGGCAGAAGTAATATTTGACGATTTTGAGCCAGAACCCCTTGGTATCGCCTCCCTGGCTCAGGTCCACCGAGCCAAGCTGAAAGACGGCACTGATGTAGCAGTTAAAGTTCAACACCATTTCGTGAAAAAAAATATCAACATCGACTTGAGATGGATGGAGTTTGTCCTGAAAACTATGTCCAAAGTCTTCCCTGACTTCCAAATGCAATGGTTAATAGATGAGACTAAAAAGAACATAGAAAAAGAGTTAGATTTCATACAAGAAGGGAAAAACTCTGAAAAAGTAGCTGTTCTATTTAAAAACTATAAGTGGTTGAAGGTACCTAAAATTTATTGGGACTACAGTACGGAAAGGGTCTTGGTTATGGAATATGTGAATGGTGGATTGGTCAATGATGTCAAGTACATAAATGTAAGTAAACAAAACTTTTACTTATTCCACTCTCACTTAGTGAGTTCAATCTATGTTGTTACATAATGGTTTTACACAGACCTAAACACTGATGTGATAGTGTTGCAATAGGTGTGATTTTAATAGGTGTGATTTTTTCACAAAATGCACCAACTGAATGTTATTATGACTGTTTGTTATTTGAGTATTTCTCAAAAAAAAATGTACGTAACGAAATAGTAGTAACGAAATAGTAAGGCCATAAGGCTTGTTATACATTGGCGAAATATTGTGAATGCTCTTCATTTATTCAATTCGAAATATTTGTAAGTATGCACCCAAATACGGGGTAATATTAAGGGGTTAGAAATAAAATAAGGGAGTAATCATTCATACTATTTTAATAAAATTATTTTTGTTCCATCATGTTTATCCATTTTGAGTCGTTCTCTGTAAGCTTTTTGCCTTTCGGCATTGGTTTTTGGCGGCATTCCTAAAAAAACAAAAGAAGTAATCACATAAAAACGTAATCTAAATGATTTGATAATTTTTTGCTGGTGGCACTTCTGTAAAGCAGATAGTATCCAATCCTTTTGTTATTAACGCTCTATATTTTTTGAAATAAATTAAGTAGTGAATATTACTATGCTTAGTCAGGTAATAACAGTATACACTCAGCATTATGTTGTACTTTTTCGTAACGTAACGAAATTCGTAAAAAACGTAACGAAATATTAGACAAAATGAGATCAGAAACAAGTATTTTTTTGATAAAATTTGTTACAGCAAATATAAAAGCTTACTAAATGTTCGTACCACACGTATTACAAAAAATGGTTAAATGAAGACTTACCGTTCTATATAAAATCGCTGATTTTACTGCCTGTTACGAAAAAGTAATCCCACAAAACACACACGTTTTCACTAATTTTCGCGATAGATGTTATGGCGGAGACGTCAGGCCAACAGCCATTCAGAGTGCAGCTATTGTTGTCCGTGTAAAATAAATACGGAATTGTTCAGAAACCATGGGAAAGTAGAAATAAATCGTAACTAAAGAGTAAATAACGAAATAGTAAATGAGAGCGACTCATTTTGTTTTTTTGCTTTAAATTGCCAATTCATTATGACACCCCATAGAAAATCAATTTGATACAGAAACTGCGATTACTGTAGAACGATAATACAAAGAAATTTACAATAATTTAGTTACGTATCGCATTTTATGAAACAAAAACACATGAAAAAGCTAGGGTGGCAAACAGATTTTTGTATGAAAGGTAAAAAAGGACTATTTTTAAAATATCTAAATATTTGGTAATAAGTAGGATTATAGCTATAATTCTTCGTTATCTTAAAGATTAATATTCATCCTTCAAAATTGTGTGTGTGTTTTTTTTGTGTGATGATTTATAAATATAAAACTTTTGAACTGTTTCAAGGCACACTTTTTTTTTCCAAAATGTACATTTTTTTTGAGAAATACTCATTTACATATTTTTTACTGTATTTTTTTTACTTCTATTGTTTTTTTGTATATTTTTTTATTGTGTTAGGAAAACAACATTGACAGACTCGACCTGTGCAAAAAGCTTGGTGACCTTTATGCACACATGATCTTTGACACTGGATTTGTGCACAGTGATCCACACCCCGGCAACATTCTCATAAGTAAACAACCAGATGACAAAGAGATCAGTGTCTACTTGTTGGATCATGGTTTGTATGCTGTAAGTTGAACTAATGATGTCATAAATCTATTACTGCTATCCAATTAATTTTATTAATTTATTATGGATGGACTTGCTAAACGACTATCATTTGCAATCTTAGCTTTAAAATGTGTTATAACAATGGGAAAATATAATCTTGCTTATTTCTCAAGTATCAAGATCAAGATCTAATTATTGGGTGGGTTTGTTTTAATATTAACGAATAAAACTACTTCTTATTTTAACTGAACAATAAACATTAATTTTTTTTCAGCAACTATCTGACCAATTCAGATATGACTATTCCAAACTATGGCTGGGTATTATATCAAAGAATAAAGAACAAATGAAGATTTATTCCAAAAAGTTGGGGATACGCGAAGAGTTGTATGCCCTATTTGCCTGTATGGTATCAGGCCGTCCATGGGAGTCAATTTTAAAGGGCATTGGTGACACTAAGCCCAGTTCTGAAGAGGTTTGTGTTTTCAAAAATTCACTTATAATTTAGTTTGCCTTCCATTGTGATCTTATATTCTCAGAGATGAGAGTATAAGATCACAATCACACAACCTTACATACAACTACTATTTCTATCTAACTGTCCACATTCTAAATTACTATGAGTTAAGTTAGAGAAACTTAAAACTAACTCACTCAAAACTTCATTTTCCAGAAAGCTGTGTTCCAAAATGAGCTCCCAAACATACTGCACTACATAACGCAGTGCTTGGAGAATGTAGACCGGCAGGCGTTGCTTGTGTTGAGGACCAACGACCTTATTCGCAGCATAGAGTACGCTTTGGGCATGCAGGAGAGGATGTGTGGCTTCGTCACTATGACCAAGTGCATGATGAAGAGCGTTTACGACTACGATTATAAGGTCTGTATTTTGTAAAACACATGAATCAGCAATTTTTTAACTTAATTTCCTGACACATAAGCAAATGTAAATCAGTTTCTGCATAATACATATCAACGTATTTGTTTCAGAACGAGTCTACGACGCTAAAGAAACCACTGATAACATTGAAATACCGCTGGTCAATGTTTTTGCTTTATTTATACACTTTGTATCAGAGTCTGATACAAAACATTGCAGTATTGCTATAACATCACAGATGAGTTTTACAATAGGCACAATTTATTCTTGAGATAGTGGCAAAGTCTGAATTGCACCAAAAAACTATTTATTGCTATTTATTCATTGTTGTATATATTATTTTGGAAGATTTGTGAAATGGAAAAAAATGACGCGAGTGAATTTTAAACCTATTTATTACATTAGAGCGGTACTTTTGCGACTAGAGGTTATATTTTCATAACTCGACTTATAAAAAATATTGTTAGTGAATCTTAACTTCGGAAGACAGGCCATTCCCTAGTCAAAACATAGTCGCAACAGTTTACCTCATGGTGTGTGTGAATTTAGATAAAAAGTTATCTGTAAATAAGAATCAAGCAGACTTAAATACTTTCCTATTTTGTACAGACAGATATTGTTTATATGGGCTATTAACTTGTTAAGTTATATTTTGACATGTAGATTTATATAAAATATGAAAATAAAATTTATTTTTGTATAAATTCCTTTTATTGAAACTTGCAAGTTGACAAAAATACATATTCACATTGGGATTCTGTTTTCCAAATTGGACAATTTGTTGCTCAAAGTACATAAATCGCTTTGGATTTTCAGGAGAATATTCGTGAAGCTATCTCGATTCTTCCTGCTGTTCAATTTGAACAAGGTAGTGCTAGAGATACGGCAAGATATCTCAGATTTCTTGTAATCAGAGTGTAACAAATTCATGCACTTGTTGTCTGGAAATCTTAGGCCATTCAACGCGACCGTCTCTTTAGATATTGCGGAAGTAGCTGAAAATAAAAATGAAATGAAACGCTCAATTTTATAAATTCTTACGCTGCGTTGGGCTTTAGCACGCATACGAAATTCGCGTACAAAATTGGTGTGATTGAATCGCAAAATCTAACAGTGTGACTATGATTCTAGAACCAGTGGGACTTTTCCAAGTAAAATTCCTTTAATCTTACCATTAGCAGCACCGTTTCCAGAGGTGTCTTGTTTGTCGCAAGTACCCTCGGTCAAGTCGCTGGTAAAGCTCTCGCCAGTGCCCATTGTCAGCATGTTATTACGCATTGATGTTGTTGCTGGAAATGTGAAATTAAATAAATAATAATGCGCTATACATTATACAGGCAAAAGATCTCTAAATAAGAAACTATGTTTGTAACTAAGAATTTTGCTTATGGGGTAATGAGATGTCATCTAGGTGTTAACAATAGGACAAATCTGACATCACCAGAATCTTGGTTTTCAGTCTAGAAAAGTACGAAGTTATTTCGGCACGAGAATTGCCAGATTGAATTGGGGATGTCGAACGCTCAAAACTTGGCGTAGTACCACCGCTACGCCATCAGAATAGTCAACATCTAAGTAATAGGTATGTAAATTATCTTTTCCTTGTATTATTCATTGCATTATGTAGTACATAATACATTGGATAATATTACCATATAATACGAATAACTATTCCATAATTATTACTTACTTACTATTCCGGTTATTAAAACAATTTGCGCTTTATGGTCTAATTGATACTTATGTACTTAATCATAGATTAATTTGAACTAATAACCAATATCTTACATTGCAATGCTGTTCCGGGCAACCATACTTCCAATATGTATGGGTGTTGAGGGTCGTTGCCTTTGCGCAACTCCGTGAGAGGTATTTCCTTAGTCTCATCCGCCTTTAGCACGATCGCCTCCTCGCAATAGTCCGGCAAGTCTAGTAAGTGCCATACTTTCTGGCGAAGCACCGAAACTGAGGCTGTGGGCTTCACGGATATGTAGCGTAGTTTGTCCTCGAGACCTGCAGTATTAGATTGATTAACGGGTTTACGATTGCGGTCAAATACCTGCCTTGTCTAGCATAAAAAAAAATCCCTTTGTCCCCACCAGTGGCAGTGGAGATTGGAGACAAGCCGGGAATTTAATTAAATCACTAAAATTGGGGTAGGTTATCTTCACTGGTGGGGACAACGGGAATATACCGATTGATTAAAGTCCTATGTTTAATTTTGTATTAACGACTTGTGCAAAATGTCGTCAAGTAGACTACGCATTGCTACTCGTAGGGGGTGTTGTTCATATAAAGCAAGCATGCAAACACAATGCACATTGCATGCTCGTTCCCATTATGGGTTTGCCACTTTATGGGCCATGCTGATTTAATTGTCTGTAAAAGCGATGATGATTATTGAATGTTTAAAATACTTACTGCCCAAATCGTGACGTCGAATGATAAGAAAGGTGATGACTTCTTTCTTAAATAATTTTATAGGAGCTTTAATTAATTTTGTTAAGGACATTTTACAACGTCATCTCTGGGCCCTCGATTGCTAAAATACTATTTTACTGGCACATTTGCAACATTTTCTCAATTTTTCACTACGTGTATGAAAAAAATGCGAAACTCATCGTGAAAATAAACAAATAAAATGTCCGAATGACATCTCTTTACGTAAATGCGTCAGTGTCATTATTCATTTACTTTTCAATATTTAAACTATGTAGAGGTTTTACATAAAAGGTTTTTTTAAAACTTACACTAAAATGCCGTATGGCCATCGTATGGCATTCTCTACCAGTTAACTATAAAGGTTGAGTTTCAGTAGATAAAGACAATTTAGCACATGTACCTATAATTTATTTATTTAAACAATGAAAAACGGAGCATAGCTTTGGAGAAAATTAATAGGAAAGAGCAGTAATGTTCTGTGGGAAAGAGTGAGAAAGTTATAAGAAAAAGTTTGTTATTTAGATATTATAAACTATCTTAATTCCTTCTTCGCTCGTAGAGCATAAACCAAATCCTGGGAGTGTACGAATGTCCATCTATTTCGTAGCTGATTGTACTTGATTCCACGTACCAACTCCACTTTACAGTTATCTGAAAGCAAAAGACACATTCGTTTTTGTAAGTCCTAGTTAACTCGAGGTATTTTGAGGTAAGGTTTGTCTAGAAGAGATCACATCATAGGGATAATCTTTACAGTAGGTACAGTATAAAACCATACAACAATTATTATTGAAGTGTATTATTATTACTCAAAGGCCATGATTAAAAGGTCCAATTCTCCCTTTCGATCTTCTGGATACTGAACTACCTGTAGGTTTGTAAACCACATACCAACGCTGTCGTGTAGTTGTATGTAGGTAGGTACTTACTTAGTGGTATTTTGCAACAAAAATTTATAGCCCCATGTCCCATTAATGGACCCTGGAACTACGTAACATGCATGTATATTTACTATACATAAGTTTACCTACTTTTTTGTAGCATCCCCGACAGTTCGCTCGGTCTGACAAACTTCTTGTGGTCGTGTGTCCCTTTAGGTATCGCCTTTAGCACATATTCAGCTATCCAAATAAGAATGATTTTGGACATCAGCGTTCTATTGGGGGTAGTAAAGAATATTCTTCCTCCCGGTTTCAATACTTCTAGAGATGCTCTCACAAATAATTCTGGGTTGTTTACGTGCTCTATTATTTCGGATGCGACGACTCCGTCGTAGTAATTCTTGTAGTCACTCACATGATCCTAATAATGAAAGATGTTTATGTAGCTTTAAATAGTCACGCGCGAGTTAGCTAGCTAATAACCATATTTAAAAAAATCTTTCAGCTGTACTTATCATCACCGATTGAAAATCTATATCTATAAAAGCGAAAGGTCACTGATTGACTGACTCACTCATCACAAAATCTCAGAAACTACAAGTGCTAGAAGTCTCAAATTTTGCATGGGGATTCCTTTTAGAACAGTGGTTCTTAACCATTAAGACATGAGGGACCATTTTACCAAATTTCTGTCTTGTCAGGGACCACCTCATAATCGGTCAAAACCAGTTACGACTGCAAAAATCAGTTAAAAGTGGTATTAACCAAGGTGTGCAAGTGCACTTCGTGGACCACTTGGAATGTCTCCAGGGACCACCAGTGGTCCGCGGACCACTGGCTAAGAAACACTGTTTTAGAACGTAGGTGCTCACTAAAACGGGATTTTGCAAAATTAGACTCCTAAGGGGGTAAAACGGGATCCACGCGTCCGAAGTCGCGGGCGGCCGCTAGTAGGTAAGTACTTAATATGAGAGAAATATTTGAGTTCAAACCTCAGACCATCATTATTTATAGCATAGAATGGGAAAGGAAGGAAGGAAATAAATCTATTTATTAGCTTGAGTCAAGGAAAGTGGTTTAGCCGAGTTCTGGGAAGTGGGTTAAATCATTTTGTAGGATTCGTCGTTTCAACTACGTCAGTGGTAAAAAAACGGACAAGTGAAAGTAAAAACTCTAAGAGTATGTTCGATATTAACTGATTTAGCGGATTTATCTACCTATTTAATTTTTTTTTGCACAAAATAGTGTAGGTAGGTAATAGTAGGACTGTGAAAGGGATTTCGTAAAATTAAATTACATATTAATAGATAATATAATTTATGATATTTTATCAAAAAAAATGTCAAGACTTACTTCAATGGTCGTTTGAATGTAAATTGGTTTGTTGATTAATTTCGTGTTAGATTGGCTGTGTCGTTTGGCAACTTCAATCATTTCTTTGTTCGCATCTACGCCTGTGACTTCAGCGCCATTCTTAGCCAAAACCTGGAACAAGCAATATTAATATAAAATATTTTATTAGTGGAGCAAAAATTACTAGAGCGTTAACATTTGTAAAGGAGATTACGATTTTTTGTACTTAGCCTACTTAGAAAGTAGAGCAAGAACACAATTAATAGTTATTGCTTCTTGTACATTTCAGGGGGCTAGTAAGTGATAGCCTACCTACCTACTACTTCAGGGGTGGCCAAACTTTTGAAATGTGAGGTCTACTTATGCTCGAAAATATTCGACTGCAAGGTAGAGTTTAGAAGAGTGAAATAAATCATATTAGCAGCAACAATACTACAATGTACGACCGACCGAAGCGTGTGAGTTACTTAAATTATAGGTAGATAGATAGCACAGTAGTTAGCTCATATATTTTATATACTGTGTAGATAGTCAGTGTTCTTGGCGCGAATAGTAGGTAGGTAGGTAGGTACATTTTAAAATAAGTTCAGTTTATTTAACTCTCGCGGGCTACCAAAATCGTTTTTGCGGTCGACCTACTTAATATTGTTACCACAAAATGCATATTTAGCTGCATAGCACAGGTAGACATTTTATTATCCTGAATCCTTAAGTACATTTACGGGACGTATGGATACGTCCCGTAGTGTTACATGGGGACACGCAACGGACATAGCGGAATCGTAACTAGCTACCTACCTACACGACGTATTTTATCGTGAAACCTGAATGGCACGATGTCATTAAATTAGATGCCGCGTGAGCCGAATTTTTATCGGCCGGCCGTATCGTGACAAATGGACAAGCATAGTTACGATTATCCACGACGCGACCTAGGCAATAACGATAGACTCTACGGACTCTATCTACGCGGTTACTTAACTTACTTACTCTACGTCGTAGAGTAAGTTTATAATCTATGGTTGTTGTAACCTTAAGTACCTTCTCTATTTATAAGTTAGGTACCTATACTTAGTTTTTTAACAAGGTTTTCTTTCATTAATGATATTTAGGTATTACTTAAGTCTCCTGACCTATCATAGTTAAATTAAGAATAGGTACCTCTGACAATATGCCGCCGCCACACCCTACATCTAAAAGCTTTATATTTTTCAGGGGTTTTTCAATATCTGCTGCGCTGTGTGCACTTTTCATAAAGCCATCCATAATGAACGGTAACCTGTAAAATTAAAAATAAAACATTACCATACAAATAAGGTAGCAAATGTAAAAAACACACTATTTTAACTACAGAACCTCTGCTGCTGAACATAGTTAGGCATCCCCCATGTCCCCCAATGATTTATAATATTACCGGTTGGTAGCAGTCTGCATCCAGCGTTTTCTTGCTACCTTATGAGGTCGTCTGTCCACCTTGTAGGTACCTAGCAATAGGTAATAGAGTAATGAACAGCTCATGCACGCAAATGTACCTATGCATGGTTCGGGGGATCGAACCTGCGACCTTAGACACATTAAGTACTTAGACCGCTACGCGAGTCACAGGCCGCGATTGAGGGCAATAATAACTCAACTGTGACATGGTTTTTATTTATTAAATTGAATTCCCCCCAGTGGGGATGCAGGAATAGGGATGTTCCGATACCACCTAAGTATCGATACCTACTCATTTCGATAATACTCAAATCTTTTTTCGATACTACTTAAATAAGTACTCCTAAAGTATCGATAGTTACTGATATCGATACTTTTTGGAACTTTTATTTTAGTTTGTTACTTGTAAACAATCACTTAACACTTTCACAATGGCGGAATGGCGAGATGATTTGCGGGCGGGTGCGGGTGTCTCCTTCTCTCGCTTTCGGCTCGGGCTCGGCTGAAGTCGGACGAATTCGGCTGGCCCAGCGCGAGACAACGCGTCACTCACGCCGCCACGCGACGAATACCGGTAACTCGGTAACCGATTAAAGCTGATTAGTTCACTGTTTTTGCTCTCTCAGTTCTGTATGACGCGTTCTCGGTTTTTTTATTGTTTTCGGTTGTTTTGCCGATTCGATTCGATACCAAGTATTTTTGTTTCGATACCGATTATGTATCGCAAAATTGATTCGATACAATAAATACTTGGTATCGAATCAAAAGTATCGAGTACCTACTCGTATTTACTAGTATCGGAATATCCCTACGCAGGAAAAAACCGTAATAAAAACCTTATTTCATTCATGGAATGAAGTGCTTTAACAGGGCCCGCTGGATCCCACCAGCTCTTTTCAAGTTCCGAGTATCTTCCGACTTCATATTCATCTATTGTTGTCCCAGCCTGTTGATTTGAGTAGGCTCGCGAGATTCCTAGATACTGCGTCCGAAATTGTCTGTAACGTAAAAAGATAATATTATTATGTTAGGGAACCTAGTGTTCATGATGTTGTTACCAATGTAGGGTAAGATAGGTAACTCCAATTTCCGGAACAAAACTTACATAAGTATAGGAGAGTGGGAAATACGGAGAAATATCTCAACGGACATGGACACAGGTAAGTAAAGGTAGCATACTTTACGTTACTACAATACCACAAACAATACTTTACTATTGTTAATTAAGGGCTTTATTAATCTAAGCTATCAATTAAATTGACACAATTCAGTTTCTTTGCCTATTCATTGCAATTACAAATAGGTACCCTGCTATTAAATATAATAGAGCGTTTCAGACAAGAAGGTAGATGGATTTTTCCATCGATTAAATTATAAGATAATTATACCCTACCTACCATTATTGATAGTGTTTTTGTGTTATAACTTGTAAAACAAATGTTGTTGTTTATACTATAAGTAGGTACCTAACCTAGGTCTTTGTATGATGTTACTTAGCTATCGAGTCCTTTTGGGGCAAAGGCATGGGTATACCGTGTACCCAATTTCAACCGTTTTTTTTCAAACGCGAAAGACTGCGACGGTAATACCTACCTAGGTCCTCTTTCGTTTTACAAACAAATAATGGTTCTAGCGTTCTAGGAAGTAGTTTAGGTACTTAAATAAATAAAAAACAATTTCATGATTATGTAAAACTTACCTTTTGACAAGAACAGTGCTTTTAAAAATTATGTTTTTCATTATTCGAGTTGCACAAGTCGTTCACAATTTTTGTTACTCCACTTAGCACAACTTAACTATGTGACGGTTAAATGCAGATTGCTCAATGGCGCGACATCATCGCGTATTTGTATCAAAGCGCATTCTATTTAGCTTGTAATACAATTTAAATACTCTCACTTACGTTGTAGTGGCACACTAACGGATTGATTTTACTATACCCACTGACCTAGCTACCTTCATCTTTATAGTATTTTGTTGAAAAGCCGGTATGGCTAGCGAAATGAAGGAACCTTTTTTTCTTTTAAACACGAAGGATGATTTAAAAATATGTTGCTTATAAATATTAGGTAGCTTTGGAAATGGCGCGGCGTCGCGTTAGACATTTGAGTCAATTTTGATATTTTTCCTGTTATTATACCTACTCAGATGTAAGGAATAGGCGTATTAAAGTTGTGATTATTATTACCCACTGTAATATGAATGTAATCTGTCCATATTAATGGAGTTATTGACAAAATACGCAGATCAAGACATGGTTAATGAAAAGAAAATTAACATAGTAAGTATACAATATTGTTTTAAACTTTCATGGTCACTAACATAATTATACCGTACAGGGTAGCAATCCCGTCAATAATAATTATTAAGTTACATAGGATAAGTACCATCTTAGACTGCATCTCTTTTATCACCAGATACTTTCCTTGTTATGCACAAAAACATTAGTAAACTTCTCTAGTAATATCACATACAAATGTTGGCTTTATGACAAAAACTGGCTTTTGCCCGCGGCTTCACAAGCGTGAAATTTAGTTTGTCACATATCGTCATAATTATAGCCTATAGATATGTTATTCTAGGTTATCTTATCTATACTTATAATAAATCTGTAGAAAGGTCAATTCTGTACATGAAATATATTTTCAAAATAACTATCAGGGGGTTATATAAGTGATCGATACTGATGCCAAAAATGCAATCAGTAAAATTTTTGTTTGTCTGTCTGTCCGTCTGTATGTTCCAAGAAACAAAAACTACTCGACGGATTTTAACGAAACTTGGTACAATAGTTCTTCGTACTCCTGGGCAGGTTATAGTATACTTAGGAATTCCCACGGGAACGGGAATTAGCGGGAAAATCCTTTTGTATGAAAAATCTAAACCGTTTAAGTTAGACGCTTGAAATTTGGCATGCAGGTACCTTAGTAAACTTAAAGCTTAGTTACAACAGCATATTGCAATATTCCCACGGGAACGGGAGTTAGCGGGAAAAAACATTTGTATGAAAAAATCTAAACCGCGTAAGATAGATGAAGGGGGCTAAACGGGATCCACGCGTACGAAGTCGCGGGCGGCCGCTAGTAAACAATAATACTGTAGTTTCATCAAAATCCGTTCAGTAGTTTTTGCGTAAAAGAGTAACAAACATCCAGACATTCATACAAACTTTTGCATACAGTCAGAAGTAGGATTCTTGTGTAAAATATTTTTATAGGATCGTATTTAATGTAGTGTAGTGTATATTGTGACATAACTTCCTTTGTAACAAAAGGCAAACTTAAAGCTATAGGAAATATTGCCTAGCTGACTTGGTATTAATAAACAGCATTTAAAATTACATTTTCTATATTTACAATAAACAGATATTATTATTAAATAAAATAAAAATACTATTGTTCTTCTGACTTCACAGTAAAAAAGAGTGACTTTGTATTAAAATTATTTTGTTTCTAACTTCTCAGCTTGAAGTGCATACATAAAAGTTTGGAAACTGACGAAATCCCATTTGTTTAATAAAACATTGTACATTGTGCCATAAACCACTTCCACGTGACAGTTATCTGAAAAGAAAAATTACTTTCATTAGTTAAAAAGTTATGCAAGATATTTTTAAAACACTTTTTCAATTTCAGCAAGAGAAACAAGTGTATAAAGTTTTATTCTGTTTAAAATTGGTTGATTAAGAACCATTTACAAGTGAGTTGAAAAAATTTATTTAAATTCTTACAGGTAAAAAAGATTACTTACTTCTTTCTAACAAAAACGTCAGTTCATTTGGTGTGATAAATTTCTCATACTGGTGTGTTCCTTTCGGCACTATATTCAGAATATATTCAGCTACCCAAATACCGAAGACTTGTGTCATACGAGTTCTATTAAGTGTGGTGAAGAATATTCTTCCTCCGGGCTTTAATACTTCAATACATGACTTCACAAATAATTCTTGATTGTTGACATGTTCTATAACTTCTGAAGCAACTACACCATCGTAGAAGTTTTTGTGGTCATTTACGTGATCCTGAAATTATTGCAAAGATGAATTTAACGGCTTATGAAAGAGAAGTTTCATGAACAATTTATTTACAGAGGAACTTTTTGTTTCGGAAACTCTAATCTACAGAGTATTTTGTAATACATATTTTTAGATATATAATTTTCTATGAGACATTTTGAGTCAGTCCCAAAAATTTCTAAGGCAAAATTTTAGTAAATAATTCTTAGATACCTAAAAAGTTATTCATAATTTATTTATTTAAAATTTTCAAGTTATCAACTACTTTATTTTACTTACTTCAATTGTAGTACAACAGTAATTTGGTTTGTTGACTAATTTACTGTTTGACTCACTGTGTTGTTTAGCTACATCAATCATATCTTTGTTAGCGTCTATGCCTGTAACCGTTGCTCCTATCTTAGCCAATGCCTGAAAAATATAAATGAATGGATATTTAGCAAATATTAAATGTGTCTCAAAAACTGGTATATGGTAACACTTATTATATTAATATAAATAAATATCCTTGGACATTTTACACTGCGCCTCTAGTCCCAAACTAAGTTTTATATGAATTTTGTGTTCTTAGGGGTCACTTAAAAATTAGGGATTGATGGAGAAAACGGGCATAGTCTAACTTTCCTACAATAGATTGTAAAAACATGCTGTTCAGTCAATTACACATCTGATACACTATTAGAACTATATTATGATGTCTGACTGTCTGTACTTATACTATGGTTGCAATAAAGATGTAAATAATTATATTTACCTCTGATAATATACCTCCACCGCAGCCTATTTCTAAAATCTTCTTATCTTTAAGAGGAGTAAGACTTCTTTTATCGAGGTCACATTGAACTAATCCATCTCTGACAAAGGGTACTCTGTAAACCAATAGTTTAAGTTACATGACTTTTTAAACTAGGTACTAAAGTTTTAAGTAAATACTATGAATTAAATAATTTTAAAAATATTACCTAATCTCGTTCATAGAATGTAGAGCCTTAACAGGGCCTGATGGATCCCACCAATACTCTGTTTGTTTGGTGAACTTGTTAAGATCATCTTGATCTATAGTCGAACCGGTTTTATGATCATCCTTTTTGATAAACTGCACAGTCGTCGAAAACTGCAGGTTAGCCGAGGCAGGTTTGAAGTTCCTGTAATTTTTCTCTGATAACTAGGTATAAACTATAATTAAATTAATCACAAAGAATTAGGTGGTTAAAAATGAATTGTTACGGATCTTTTGACGTTATTATGTACTTACGCACTATTTTTACTGAGAGTTTTATGAAATAGATAACAGGTCCGTAATATTTTTGAACTCATTTTAATCTATACTGCGTAACTTTATTTCTTCAATTTATAAAAAATCGCCGGTAATGAGAACTTTCTCTAGTTTTCCACGGATTTTCTTGCTTTTTTGAGCGAGCGAGTCCTATTTTATTTTTGACATTGACGACATACTATTTTAACGTTTCTACAAATGTGCGGTGAGCGGTGGCACCGAGCAGACGAATTTGAGGAGACGGCTTAATAAAATAACAGTGTTTTCTACACTTCATTGTTTATTGTTGATCACTATTTGTTAATTACGAGTGAATACAAAAGCCTAAAACTTATGTTTCAATCAATGAGATACACGTGAGATGAGTTTGTTTTGTGCTTTTAGGGTTAATTTGACATAAAGCGTCTCCATTTTCATCTCAGTACCAGTCAGTCTATTGCATGGCACTATTTGAATATGAATTGAATAATAAAATCGATTCAACTGGTAATTTCTTTAATCGATTAGCTTGACAAAGATAAACTTCATTTATTTTGATTGATTGATTGTATAAATAAATAAAAACGGATAAACCTACAACGTTATGAGTAAAAATGCACCTCCAAAAACAGCTGCAGTAGATTTATCCCGTTTCTGTAAAAATACTTTTACCCTTACTTTTGCCATCGAAGTTCTTGGTATAGATGTCTGGCATGATTGCAATGAGGGTTGGCTTGATCTTGGTCCTTGTGCTCAAGGTATGAAAATTCAGTATCAGCTCTATCCTGGGCAGAACTTTGAGGTGGATATTCTGATTTGGCCTCATGCAGCTAAGGTATTATTACTTTTATTCCATTGCCTGGTTACCACGTGACATTTAAAAAAAATTGTAAATGGCGGCAAATCGAAATATAATTGGTAAAGTTTTCTTCTACATAGATTTATTATTTTTGCAGATATGGTGTGGAAGTCAGTATGGATGGGTCAGGACTTGGCAATTTTTGGAGCGCAGGTTTCTGACATTCTCTATTACACACATATACCCAGTACGTGTGATGGAACTGCGAAACTTCACGGCCACCATCACGCCTATTGTTGGAATGGGTAGTCTTGGTGCAAAGTTAGTAAAATTTTAAAGACGTAACTATTGTGTCCAAATTCCAAATTATGAGATAATAGAAAGCATTGATTCTAGCCCTTTCGGACCGCTCCAATACAATTGTGCGGGTTACAAAATCGAGATTATCTCATTAGTTGTACATCGGAAGTGGATGGGCTGAGTATTGTACGATTGTGCGGGATGCGTTCTTTCACCTCCCGTGCAAATTTTGTCCGAAGCGCAGTTGGTGAGCAGGTTACAACCTGTACAGTTCATGACTGATTGCACTCCCCGACTTGACGAAAGAAAGTACCTACCATGGTTTTATTTTGTAATTGTAGTAATATACAAGTTATTGATTAGACAAATAGTTAAAAATAGCATCTTTTTGTGATAACAGTGACTACTTGTAAGCAAAGGCTTTGGCGTAACGGCTTAACGAACTTTACTGACACAATTGTATCGACGTGGGCCCTACAATACCTTATGCGTATTTTAAGTTTCTCGTAATTATTAATTTTTCTTGGTTTTCGCACCATGTTTCCGATTTTAAACGACGCTACTATCGCAGAGATGCTCAATGC